TGAGGAGTTTTTGGATATTTCTTCCATATTTTGTGCTTTATTTTGAAGTTTGTGCATAGATTTTGTTAGTTCATTATTTATTCCTGTGAGATCATTTACCTGTTTTTTCAATTCTGCAATCAATTTGGTATTTCCCCCAATTTCCCTCCCATCCTGTCTAATTTATCATTGATTCCTTTAACCTTCTCACTCAACTCTGTCCTTAATGGTCCTGTCATTTTTCAGACTCCAAATTAATTCTTTTAAATCCATCTCAGAATCCAATCAAGAGTTCCTCCTTCTGTGTTGATTGTGCGAAGAAGGGTTGGGTTTTTTTTGGATGAGGACATATTTACCCTTATTCTTCTGATTTCAATTTCAATGTTTTATTATTTCGATATTTCTATCCTTTTTTGGGGGGGAGAGGGTTGGGGTTAGGGTTAGGGTTTGAAAAGAAGAAATGGGGGGCAGGATTGAGTATTTCTTAATTCAAAATTTCCTTTTTGAATTAGGTCCCTTAATTTCAAAGGTATTCCTCAATTCATTATTTCCTTACTGCCACCTTCTGAATACCTTTTAATGTTCTTAAATTATGGAGGTTTGTGGTTAAGGTATTTCATTAATGCGTCTTAATAATTATTCTATCTTCATCACAGTCCACCCAATCTCATTTCAAATTATCAGAATTAAAAAATAAACAATAAGAGTTAAAATGATAAACAATTAAATCTATTCCCTCCCACTATAGGTTATATAATTCACTTTAATATTTCGAATTCCCAATCCCCAAACAAATTGAATCTTCTCCTGTACTGTTTCGCTACTATTTCTCTTGGCACTTCTTGATACTTCTTGACCCCTTGTTACAATCTAATCAAAATTATTTCAAATTAACAAGATTAATAAATGAGCTAAATAAAATTACGCTCATGAACACTTAATTATAATATAATCAATTCTATTCCGTTCCCCAGTAAATTATATAATTTGCTTTAATATTCCCCAATCCCAATTCCCACACAGATTTGATCTCTTTTACTGGTATTTTATTAAATTCAACACTTTTTAAATCTCTTTTCCCCCTACTGCCTTCTAAATTCCTATCCAAAAATTCCATAAATTCATTATATACAATATAAACAGTTGTCACCTTTCTTGTAACCAATTTATCTTACTATTGTTATCCCTTTATGTTATTACCACTTAGTTCATTTAGTTGGTTTTCTTGTTGTCTTCTGTCAAAGGCTATTCACATTTAGTTCCTCTAATTCTTTTGTTACTGCTGCTCAGTCTCATTTAAAGTCTATGTTTCTCTCTCTCCTTCTTTCTTTTCCTTTTTCCTTTCTTTTTTATTGGTTGCAATTATATTCTCCACCACTTGGTGTCAATATTTTCTCTTTTCCAGTTCAACGAAAGGCTCTTTTCCTTCTTGTTTCTTCTGAGTCGCCTCTTTTATTCATTCTTCTTCTGTGGTTTCCGGTTTCTTCACTTGGTCCTTTGAGCAGCCCATCCCTCCTCTGAACCACGCCGCGCCATCATTGCCAGAGGAACAGGTCCAAAAGCCAACAAACAAACGGCCACACAAAGCAATCAAAATAGAACGCAAACAAACCAGTGGGTTCATTTCCTTCCTTGCGGTCTCTTTTGTGGCAACTGCTGGTTTCCTTTTAATATTTAAATCCCTTCAAGTATTTCTTTCAGTCAGTATGCCACTCTTTCTTTGTTTTGATCTCGCCTTTGTAAAATAAAGTCCTTTAAGGCAGCTTTTTTTCCTTTAAATTTCACTCATTTTCGTTGCTGAGCCTTGCGTTAAGCAGCTGTGTTAGAGTTCAATTACAATGAGAATAAACTCAGTTTATATTCCCTGTTGGTTTCTTTCAGCTGTTTACATAAATCGTCTAATTGGCTTTGCATTGTTCAACTCTTCTTAAGGCTTCTCTATTTCAAATTATTCGCCTTAGATATCACACCCCCTTTGCGTATTTCACTCTAATTTTTAGCTTTTTCTTTCCTTCTATTTTGGAGGATTGTTTTCAATAGCCAATTAGAGTTCTAAATTGAAGTCTGGAAATTTTTACCGCCGTCTGCGCCGTTTCGGGTCTGAGGCTTCTTGTTGCGGGGGAGGTCCTCTCCTTGCGCCGGGGCTCCCCCCTCAATCGCTTGACAACGGAGAAAGGAAAATCCCTCTTTGATGCTGCTGGAACCACTTCAACTCAGGGTCACCCCCTGAGCTTTTTTGGGGGTCGCGTAGCCTCCACATCACCCCAAACCCCCCAACAATCACTGCTCTTGCTCCTGGGAGCCCACAGAGCGCACCCATCCTGGTCGCGGTAAAAACAGGCAGTCCGTATGCACTTACTTTACAAGTCAAATTTAATTTAATCAGGCTTATCTTCTGAGGAGATATGTATAAGTGTGAATTGCTGCAATATTTTTTTGGGGGGTGGGGTATGGTAATTTATTTCAATTAATTGCTGTTGACTTCAAGGTGTCCTTATTTCCCCCTCAACCAAGTCAACCAAGCTCCATCTGGTACACAGGCTGAGACCCTATCTGCCTGCAGACTGTCTTGCCAGAGTGGTACATGCTCTGGTTATCTCCCGCTTGGACTACTGCAATGCGCTCTACGTGGGGCTACCTTTGAAGGTGACGCGGAAACTACAACTAATTCAGAATGCGGCAGCTAGACTGGTGACTGGGAGCGGCCGCCGAGACCATATAACACCGGTCTTGAAAGACCTACATTGGCTCCCAGTACGTTTCCGAGCACAATTCAAAGTGTTGGTGCTGACCTTTAAAGCCCTAAACGACCTCGGTCCAGTATATCTGAAGGAGCGTCTCCTCCCCCATTGTTCTGCCCGGACACTGAGGTCCAGCGCCGAGGGCCTTCTGGCGGTTCCCTCACTGCGAGAGGCCAAGTTACAGGGAACAAGGCAGAGGGCCTTCTCGGTAGTGGCGCCCGCCATGTGGAACGCCCTCCCATCAGATGTCAAAGCGATAAACATCTACCTGACATTCAGAAGACATCTGAAGGCAGCCCTGTTCAGGGAAGTTTTTAATATGTGAAATTTTAGTGTATCTTTCATCTTGTTGGAAGCCGCCCAGAGTGGCTGGGGAAACCCAGCCAGATGGGCGGGGTACAAATAATAAATTATTATTATTATTATTATTATTATTATTATTAAGCAGGGGCTTTGCCTGAATATGCCCAGCTGGATGGGCAACCATGCAGTGGGTAGGAGAGCTGAACATAAGCCAATATATTTCACACCTGGCGACCCATGCGCCCCTTTGGTTTCAGATAGTACAAGAGTAGACAAGTCTAAAAAGCCCAAGACACAAATTTCCACGGTGCTCTAGTGGCTAAATAGAAGGCTTTGTTTGGTCTACAGACGCTTCAGGTTACAGACTCCGCTAACCCAGAAATAGTACCTTGGGTTAAGAACTTTGCTTCAGGATGAGAACAGAAATTGTGCGGTGGCGGCGCGGCGGCAGCAGGAGGCCCCATTAGCTAAAGTGGTACCTCAGGTTAAGAACAGTTTCAGGTTAAGAATGGACCTCCAGAACGAATTAGGTTTTTAACCAGAGGTACCACTGTACAGTCATACCTTAGAAGTTAAATGGAATCCATTCCGGAAGTCCGTCCGACTTCCAAAATGTTTGAAAACCAGAGCACAGCTTCTGCAGCCAATTGGAAGCCCCGTCAGATTTTCGGCTTCCAAAAATAGTTCACAAACTGGAACAGTCACATCCTGGTTTGCGATGTTCGGGAGCTAAAACATTTGAGAACTAAGCTGTTTGACTTCCGAGGTACGACTGTGTACACTTCCAGCGTTAACACTAAATACATTACTTCTGGTAAATGTGCCCCCATAGCCACTAGAGCTGTTAAAATTTGTGTCCCAGGCTTTTTAGACTTGTCTACCTATGTACTACCTGAAACTCAAAGGGTGCATTGGTTGCCAGAAGTGATTCCCACCCACCCCAGCTCTCCTAACCCACTAATGTGCAGAAATAGGCCCTGTGGTACAACTCTCCTGGCAATATGTGCATGGCACCTTTCAAGAAAAATCCCACCCCTCTTCCATAGGGCAGAGAAGTGTGTAAATTGGCTGTGTTTCCGTAGACTAATAGAGTGTAAAGCAGGAGTGGGGAGAAACTTAATCTGGCTACAGGGGCCAGTCATCTGTCAATCACCTGACATCACACAACATCAGGTGATTAAACTTTGACCCCGTACCATGCAAAGGAAGAATCAAGTGCACCTTTCTTCCTTTGCAGCCCCAGCTATAATTCAAGTTCTGGCTGCAAAGGAAGACTATTTGCAGCTGTGGCTCAGGAAAATTCTTCCTTTGCAGCTGGAGCCACAAGCCGAATTCAAGCTGTGGCTGCAAAGGAAAAATTGGAAGTGTGCTCTAAGTGTGCTCCATTTCCAACAGCAATTCAAAAAGTGCTGAAATCGACCAGCATCCTTGTTGGTTTGGCTTCATGGTTTTCCTTTGTCCCATGCCTGTTGTGATAGAAGATGGGTTTGGTTTGGGAATGACAAAGAGACTTGGCAAGTCTAATGAGGCCATGGGCCAAAGCTTGCACTGCTGGTGCAAAGATCCTTGTCATCAAACTCATTTTGAATACAGTGGTGCCCCGCAAGACGAATGCCTCGCAAGACGAAAAACTCGCTAGACGAAAGGGTTTTCCATTTTTTGAGTCGTTCCGCAAGACGAATTTCCCTATGGGCTTGCTTCGCAAGACGAAACGTCTTGCGAGTTCTTGCGAGTTTGTTTCCTTTTTCTTAAAGCCGCTAAGCCGTTAATAGCCGCTAAGAACCGCTAAGCCGCTAATAGCCGTGCTTCGCAAGACGAAAAAACCGCAAGATGAAGAGACTCGCGGAACGGATTAATTTCGTCTTGCGAGGCGCCACTGTAACGTGCTTTACCATGACACTTATCTCTCTGTGGAGAGCATTTTATGAATCTATATAAAACTGTTAAAGTAAAAAAAAAAAAATCCCACTGTCTTACCACTACTAATGCCTGAGTTTGCAGCAACTGCCACCTCACTCCACTGGTCGGCACTGGAGACTGAATAGGAACGCTGATGCATCCCATCAGGGCGACTGTTGAAGGAAACCAGGCTGATGCCGCTTGCCATCTGAGACACAGAAGTACTAGTAGTCACATTTCCTAGAAACAAAAGGATTGAAAGTTACTAAAAGTGAAAAACAAATTTTACATTCAGGATAACAGAAAGTGGGAACAAAGAAACAATAATCTTTGGCAAAATGCTGATTGATGTTGTCATTATTAGGTATCTTCCAAAGTCCCCCTTACAGAGAGAGTCACACCCGGCCCCGCTAGTAAAATCTCTCTGTATATCCCCTTTGTTTTAAATCAAGTTGGGAATTAAAAGTATGAACCTGCATTTGGCTATGATGAAAACTCCAAACCAAAAAGAGTTTATGAGAGAAGGCATAAAGATAAATCTGGAAGCCTCAAATGTCAGTCTCAAGGTTGTTTTTAAATGATAAATACATGCTAAGTGATTGTATAATTCACTTGAAATGTTTAAAATCATTATTTTATTAGATGGAGTTATTCAAGTCATGCTACTGCAGAGAGTTAAAGGTAAAGGTAAAGGTACCCCTGCCCGTTCGGGCCAGTCTTGACAGACTCTAGGGTTGTGCGCTCATCTCACTCTATAGGCCAGGAGCCAGCGCTGTCCGCAGACACTTCCGGGTCACGTGGCCAGTGTGACAAGCTGCATCTGGCGAGCCAGCGCAGCACACACGGAACGCCGTTTACCTTCCCGCTGAAAAGCGGTCCCTATTTATCTACTTGCACCCAGGGGTGCTTTCGAACTGCTAGGTTGGCAGGCGCTGGGACCGAACGGCAGGAACGCACTCCGCCGCGGGATTCGAACCGCCGACCTTTCGATCAGCAAGTCCTAGGCGCTGAGGCTTTTACCCACAGCGCCACCCGCATCCCATTCTAACTGCAGAGAGTTAGAATTAGGTAATTTACTCTTCTTTGTCTTCATTGAAGATTGGGTTGTTGTAAGAAATTTTGAAGACAGGAGAACAGCAGTGGTACACCAGTGATTAGTGATAACAGTGAACAACTCTTCTCATTGTGACACTTGTGGGTGATCTGAGAGTTTGTTTGTACCTTGGGTGAGAGGGAGTGTCAGAGGAATAATGAATTGATATTGATTTATATATGTGCCATGGACTGGTTGGATGCAGAGGAATGGTGGGAGGAACCAGCTAGGGAACCTTCAAGGGAAGACAATATATTAGTAATTCTGAATTAATATAACATTTTAATATGTAACTGTATTTTTGCTGTCTGTTGTTGTTTCGGTTTCCTGTAAAAAAGAGATATTTTTATAATATTAAGCAGTATAGAAATAAAATAAAATAAACTGAATGGAAGTGGGACATGGCCTGGTTCCCATGTTCCACTAAGTCAAATGATAGCTTAGAATGAACATGGAGGTTTCCAGAGAATGGCTCACAGATGCTTTGCTCCTCCCCAGCCCTTTTTGCTGCCATGCTGCAAAGCTGGGTTGGCTGAACCAACGCTTACGGTCAAGCTATTTCCATGAGCTACAGTCAAGCTACTAGTTCGGGATTAGTCTGGAGTTGTTAACCATGAGCCCATATTCAGACAACTGCAAAGCTAAAGCTAAACATGCTTAGCTCAACGAGGCAGCAAAAGGGAACAGAGAGGGGGCTGCTAAGCCAAGTTATGCCTTAGCACAAGATGTGAACCAAGCCTATATTATCTTGCGATTTCTGTATGTTGGTACAGAAAAAGAAGGGTAAAGCTAAATTAACAGTGGCTACGGCAGCTTGCAATGGAGCAGATGAAAAAAGAAGGGACTCCATTGAACTCAGGCCACTCTCTCTCTCTCCCCCCACACACCCACACCCACAGAGTTAACGTCTCACATTAAAATTACAGAATTCCCAATATGGCTTGCCCTGCATAGGACAAACCTTATTCCTGTTTCTACTATGTAAAGCTCCCAAATTTATATTTTAAACATTTTGACTCAAATCAAAAATACCAGCTATGCTATTATAATCACAGCACTGTAATGTGTTAATGGTAACTGCTGCTTCTATCACATATTCATCACAAAGCTCCTGCAAAGTAGTCCTCCAGGAAGCAAGGTCCCACTCTCAACTTCAATAAGGATTTTTTAACATGACCATATTTAACATATTTATGCAATACTCATGCAACACGATACTGAAAAATGTCCAAGAACATAACAGATTGGCCAGCCAGAGCATGAATTCAGTCACTTATTAGGATTCTGCATCTCATGAGAGAGATCTTCTTGTGAAGAGGTTCTTGTAAAGCTTTAACGTCAAAATCTTACATGCAAGGGCTAGCAGCACTTCAGCATCTGCCTCACTTTCAGTTTATTAGAATTAACATAAAATACATGGTCAACTACCTGGTTTATTCAGAGTTCTGAAAGACGGCCTCTACAAATGTATCATATACGCATCATCTGGCTGCTTTAGTTGATTAGCAGGGGGCAGTTAAATTACTATGCTAATCCATGTATTCTCAGCACTGGTTCCTTGATATGGATATGTGTATATGCTTACTGAGAAACCTTGATTAGTTCAAGCTTCAGTGTGTCAAAAGCTCCAGATTCTTTCCAAAGAATAATTTTAGCTGTATTCGCATCTGTAAAATGTAGGAGCTGATTTGAAAATGTACTTACCTCTAACATATGCTATTTTTCTTTAACTATTTGCATTTCAAAGTGACTATTGCATTTATATATGAATGACTACCAGTATGTTGCCAAAAATGGGCTCAAATGAGCAAGGATGATGCTGGTTTTCTATTGAAGAACACTGTTTTTCATCTTCTGTAACATTACAAAGGAAAAACCCTTCAGTTATAGGAACCTTTATTACATTTAAAATACTCAACTGATATTCTAAAATATTTTACTATGGGGAAAAATTATCCAAAACATTCTTCTACAATGGTAAGAAACAATGACTGACATCAACATTACAATCCAAGATAACTTAATTCCTGGTATAAAGAGTACGAAAACCATATTTTTGACAGCAAATAAATTACCATGTATAAGATACATATTAGGAACAGAATTTATATTTTATTAATTAAGAAAGGGCAAACAACAGATGGTGTAAATTACAGTGGAACCTTGGTTCTCAAATGCCTTGCTACTCGAACATTTCGGCTCCTGAACTCCAAGACTTGGAAGTAAGTGTTCCGGTTTTTGAACGCTTTTTGGAAGCCGAATGTCCAATCTGGTTGTCAGCTATTGTTTCCAGGACGCCTGCCCTGCGCCAATTGGAAGCCGTGCCTTGGTTTTTGAACATTTCAGAAGTCAAACAGACTTCTGGAACGGATTAAGTCCAAGAACCAACGTACCACTGTACTTTGTTTATACAGTGGTGCCTCGCAAGACGAAATTAATCCGTTCGCGAGTCTCTTCGTCTTGCGGTTTTTTCGTCTTGCGAAGCACGGCTATTAGCGGCTTAGCGGCTATTAACGGCTTAGCGGCTTTAAGAAAAAGGAAACAAACTCGCAAGAACTCGCAAGACGTTTCGTCTTGCAAAGCAAGCCCATAGGGAAATTCGTCTTGCGGAACGACTCAAAAAATGGAAAACCCTTTCGTCTAGCGAGTTTTTCGTCTTGCGAGGCATTCGTCTTGCGGGGCACCACTGTACAACCATTCAGCAATGGTTTTAGGGCAGTTTACAAAACCTACCATAGTTTTTCTTATCTTTCCTTTGTAGTATGCAGCCCTCACAGCTGAACTACAGATTACACTGGAGCAGCAGAGTCTCATTCTGCTTGCAAATGTATTGAAGCGGGGGGGGGGGGGACTGGAGGGGGGGCAGATATGCCTTCCCCTGTGGGGAGAGAGAAGAGGGAGATTTTAAGCAGCAAAATGACCTGAGAGGGAATGGCGGTGCAGCCTATGCCAATAATTAATGCTCCAATCAAGACTGCAGCCTTCCATGGCTGTTTTTCTTTTAAAACAACCACACATAAAAGGACAAGGACACACAACTGTATGCAATGTATACTTTTGTCTAGAACAGGGTTGCCTAACCCAGTGTTTCCCAACCGGTGTTCCGCGGCACACTACTGTGCCGTGAGACATCGGCTGGTGTGCCGTGGGAGGGAGGCGGGCGAGAGGCGGCGGCGGCGAGGATCCGGCGGGGGTGGGGGGAGCGGGGGCCGTCGCGCGCAACCGAACTCACTTGGCGCGCTGCCGGCTTGTCCTCCTTCAACCCGGGTCGGGCCAGGCCTGCTCACGTCCCCGGATCCCCTAGCAGCAGCCGCACGCTCTCCAAAAGCGCAACGCTGCGCGCAACCGCTCGGCCAGCTGGTGCTCTGCGACTCCGCCCTTTCCTCTCCCAGCGCCGGAGGGTTCGCGCGACCGCAGCTGTTCCCTTTCGCAGCGCGCGGGAAACAATTCCAGGCCGATTGCCTTGTGCCGAAAAGCACCGCCTCTCCTTCCAGCTCAGGCCCGGGCCGCCGGCTCTCCGAATGACGTCACGGGGGCGGGGCTTTAATGGTGGTGTGCCGCGAGATTTTTTTCCGGTAAACAGGTGTGCCGTTGCCCAAAAACGTTTGGGAAACACTGGCCTAACCTATGGCTCGCTCTACAGTTTGCTGGGTTCTATCTCACATCTGTCCTTGCAGGGACGATGGAGCTGTAGTCCCACAGTACCTGGAGGGCCAGAAGCTAGTTGCATGACTTAGTTGCGTGACTTAGAGCAAAACAAAATGAGCACAATCTGGCCCAAATTAAGGAAGATTGAGTCCCATTCAAATCAACAGAAGTGCACGTAACTAAATTCCTCCCATTTAAATCAATGGGCTCTGCCCCCTCCTAGTGCATATTTTGGAGGTACATTGCTAGATATATTTTTGGGTCAGTGTTACTACTTATTCAATATATGGGAAGGAATATATGGAAAGTACCGCTCCGGCGGGAAGATAAACAGCGTTTCCATGCACTGCTCTGGTTCACCAGAAGCGGCTTTGTCATGCTGGCCACATGACCCGGAAGCTGTACGCTGGCTCCCTTGGCCAATAAAGCGAGATGAGCGCCGCAACCCCAGAGTCAGACACGACTGGACCTAATGGTCAGGGGTCCCTTTACCTTTACT